CAGCAGGAACGAAACATCCCTGGGCTATCAGCACTGTTTCTGGCACAGATCCCAACCACAGCCCCGTAGTAGCTACTATGGAGAAAATTAACTCTATCCCCACCCAAACCAGCACATTCTAACAACTAAAACATCGGTGTGTTATCCACATTCTTCTCATCCTAAATCCAAAACACAGCACTATACCAGCTACTAGGAAGAAAACTAACTCTATCCTAGCCAAAACCAGAGCACTGTTTCTGGCACAGATCCCAACCACAGCCCCGTAGTAGCTACTATGGAGAAAATTAACTCTATCCCCACCCAAACCAGCACATTCTAACAACTAAAACATCGGTGTGTTATCCACATTCTTCTCATCCTAAATCCAAAACACAGCACTATACCAGCTACTAGGAAGAAAACTAACTCTATCCTAGCCAAAACCAGCACAATCTTAAGTGTCGTTTACTTAAGTGGTGAGACAAATGGAACTACACCTGGAGACATACATCAGTGTCCCACGTCCAAATGCCCAGCTCATGCTAAAGCACGCCATGAAAACCAAATGGCATATTTCATTTAAAAATTAAGCATGTGTCTAGTTTCCATAGATGAAAGATAATCCTGAACACATAATCCATGGGTAGCTGATAGCTACAGATCTGAAAAAAGCCAAAAACCAGCAGTTCTGCAAATTATCACTCATTAAAGAAGGGGGGACATAAAGCATGGTACAGGAATGGCCATGACACTGGGGAAGGGCCAGCAACCCTTCATCTTTACCTGGCAGGCACATAAGAGAAAAAGCATCCTAATTTCTGCTCATCCTAATCAATTCCAAAGGACATTTGTTGTTTCTTGAGTGCACACTCATAAGCGTTTGTGATTGGGTGCAATTCTGCAACTTCCTTGCAAAAATGCAGCAAAATTCAGGTTGGCTGGATAAGTTCAGCACGCTCCTTCTCACACACTTGATTTTGGTTGCCCCTTGCCTGGTGACACCGCTCGGACACCGTCGGGTGGTGTGATGAGTTTTGACTCCGCAGAGGTACAGACCCACGTGCCTTCTCTGCAGCAGGGAGACGCTGCAGCAGAAAAATATCTTTCCCTTAGCCAATCTTGGTTGGAAGCTCAGGTGACGATAGACCCCTGGAAGATGGCCACTCCAGCCAGGTGAGAGGTGCAAGTGGAGAAGGTTTTGTGCTGGCCCTTAGCAGAGCTGATCTTTGAGACGGCAGAGAGGATGAAGGCGTAGGAGACCAGGATGGCCAAGATGGTGACCATCTCCACCAGTCCTGCGAGGCTGACACGTGTTGATGTGGAGACGGAGCAGGAGAGCGCTAGAACAGGCATGAGGTTGCAGTAGAAATGGTTGACCTCGGCTGGCCGGCAGAAAGGCAGGCTGAAGGTGAAGTCCATGTGCACCGAAGAGTGCAGCAGGCCAAGCACGTACGAACTGGCCACCAGCAGGATGCAGACACTGTGAGACATGATGGCTGGGTAAAGCAAAGGGTTGCAGATGGCCGTATAGTGGTTGTACGCCATCACAGCCAGAAGAAAGCACCTGGTGATCCCAAAAGCTATGAAAAAAAAGGTGGGTGGCACAGATAGCTAGAGAGATTGTTTTCTTCCTTATCAGAAGGTTCATTAATGTCCTCAGCGCCACCACCGATGAGTAGCAGGCATCTGGGAGAGGTAAATTGCTAAGGAAAAAGTACATGGGTGATTGAAGTTGACCATGGCTCCTGATCCGCGCAACCATGCCCAGGTTCCCTGCCAGCATGATGAAGTAAATGAGGAGGAACAGGACAAACAAAGGCGCTTGTAGTCGTGGGTTGTCCATCAGTCCCACAAGAGTCAACTCCGTAACTTGCTCGGTTTGATTTTCCTCGGCCATCTTCTCCAAAAGCACTGTAAGTCATGTTCATAGAGCCATAATAAAAACAATAAATTAATGGAGGGACTCGGCACCTTAAAAGACCAACAATCCCCAGTGCCTGTACTGGCTAACCCTCTCGTTATCAGAGATTTGTTTAATTTTAAATCAACATTCATCGGTGTGCATTTTTCTTTCAAAACTGGTAGGAACACACAGGTTTTGGTACACACAGTCTTGACAACCCCATAGGAAAGGAAAGTCGCGGCCATACTGAAGAGCTGAACTGCGCACTTCGGGGAGCGGGTCCTTAAGGAAACGCAGAGCGAGGCAATGGGTAAATGCCGCCGGCCACGCGCCACGGGCAGTGCTGGGACAGGCGAGGACATACCTGCTTGCTCTGCCCGAGACGAGCTGATGTGGGATGTCGCACGGAGAGCCTCATCGCGCTTTTGTTCTCGAGATCTCTAAACTTGAGATCCCGTCAGCACTTGCTGGAGAAGACCATAAGTAGTGTTTCTGGGCAAAAAGGGCCCGCAAGGGATGCGGTGTCATGGAGAGGCAAGAAGATAAATCTTCAAGGGGATTCGTTTTTCTTTTCTTTGTCTCCTCATCTCTTTGCCCATCCCTTGCGTTACCTGACGACAAACGTTCGAATCAACGTATGAGGCCAGACGGGAAAACCATCAAGCCCACTGCGGCCCCTCGGAGAGGCAGCCAGCACCAGGGGCGCCTGGAGAGGGTCTTCACAAACCTGGTTGGAGCACGGGGAAAGGTGCAAGGAAGCAGCAGGACACAGCTCATGTTCTGGTCTCCCTACGGAAGAGTCTATCGCTTTCATTGGCTTTCCTGCAACTTAAGCAAAAGTTTGCAGCACCACTCGTAGGAAAACATGCAAAAAAAGTGAAGCCGTTTCTTAGTTATTAAAGTATCTTTTTTTCCTTTATAAAGTCTTAGTCCAACCGAAAGGAAAAGAAAACAAC